CTTATCACTAGGAGTCTGAAATGGGAATTCCGACTACGAAATCAAGTTTTTCAGGATTCTCATTGGGAATCTTTGTTTGGGAACCATCCTTCATGTGGGGTTGTATAATAACGCCGCCCCAGAGAATTATGTCCTGGCGCGCGGCGAAGTGCAACGCGTAGGGTTTTCTATTGGAAAAGACGGTAGGAGGAAAAATGATGGCAAAACGATACGGTCCAACATTTGGAAAACAATAAGAGGAAATAACGATAACAACATTTTGGGTCAAGCAAAAAGGAACGGGGTTTGAACATATTCCCTTTTGGGCTTGTCCGCAGAGATTTTGTAAAATCCGTATTCAAAGTCATGATAGGTGCCGTACTTTTACTCAGGGTTCCCCGTAGTCGAATTTCACAGGGACAGTGTCTAGTGACATTTATGGAGACTTCTTATTGGTTAGAGATCCCGGATTTCAGGTGTAGTTCTTATGAAGCAAAACCCCTATGAGAGTTATCTAATAGGAGTCTTTGCAGTTCCAAGTAATCAATTTTTAAAGGGAACCTGCGAGAGGAGCTTCATTGAGGTGGCATACAAGGACATATGAGCTACAGTCTAAACTCCCCAAATAGGGGTTATATGGGGGATTATATAGGGGAGTATCATAGGGTTTATGAAGGGGGATACTAGGAGTTTAGACTATAGCTCATATGACTAGTGATCATTGTTTGCGCAGAGGTTGATATGAGGGGATCTTCATTGGCAGGCTTATTCGGCAGCTTCACTGCCCTGAAACCCTAGACCCTAAGCCAAGTCGTTGAAGGTCCTTGTTAGAACTGCTTATCCGGAATCCTCTCCAGCGTCCTTGTGGATCTTGGCAAGGAGTAACCAACACAAAGAAGGTAACAAATGTTGCTTTTGCAGGGAAACATAGAAAAGCTGTAGGTTTTAGAAGGGGGGGTTACCATGTATATATATGAATATACATACCTATACTCCACACATATAGGCTTGCACATATTCATATGTGTAGATACGTAACCCCACATTTTTAGTCAGTCCCCATTACTCCCTGTAAGCTGCAAGGCTCCTCCTTAATATGATGGCTTCAACTAGTACCCCCCCCTCTATACTACCGCCCCTAGGTTCCCCCCTTATTTAAGGTCATTTAGGGATAGTTAAGCCTAATTAAGGTTAATTAAGAAGGAGGGGAACATGGGGGGGGGGTAGTATAGAGGGGGGTACTAGTTGAACCCATGATAATAGGGCCCTCTTAAAGTCTCTGGGCATCCGCAAGCATGCACTGCACCACCACCCAGAGGCTCGAGCACAAAGCAGCCTTTGTATCACAAGACCCCACAACTGGACTGTATGGGGATGTATCGGGATTAGATAGGGCTTCTATTCCCGTATTTCCTCGTAACCACTAGTAAGAGAAGAAGCTTGGAAGATTTTCGGGGGTGATCGAACCCAAAGCCATATTCTATCTACTCAAGGGGAACTATACGGGGAAGCATTTTTCAATACTGGCCATTTTGGTACCAAGGATTTGGATCAACTATAATTTCAGCGTTTTTCCTCACGGGGTATGAGTATCACGGACTTTAGTGAAGCCTAAGCCCTGAACCCCTAAACCCTTAACCCTTAGCATGACTGGTTCTTTGAGATGGCCCAGAGATGGCGGCCGCCATTATACCCTAAAGCCTAGAAGCTCCACACCATGGAAGGAGCATACCTAAGCCCAATGCAAGGGCTGTAGGTCCCACAATGTTGAAGCCTTAGCCAAGTCCAAGCGTGTATGTGCGTGTATGATTGGGTTATGGATTAGATGCGGTAGGCTTGGATTGAAATTCGCATGCTTGAGCGGACAAGCTTGCATGGTTTTGTCTTCGTTGTGCAATGCACTTCGCCCCCTCGTCACGCTCCGCTTCCAGGCGGAGGGTTTCAAGATGCACTTCCTGGTGGTTGGTGAGTAGGGAATGGAGGAATGGATCCCCAAAAGCTAGCTCCTGTATAATCCCCAATAAAACCGTAGTTTCCCTCGTCGCTTCCATTACTTTATCCCTATCCCAAGCCCTAAACACTGGATCGTTAAAAAAAAAGTAGTATTGGGATTTCTAAAATAATGGCTTTTTGGGCTGTTCTGTTAAGGCTTAACCCTAAACCCTGTTTCCTACGTTGGATGCGGAGGTAGTCCCGCCAAAACATGTTGGGTTTGAGATTTGAGGCCACTTTGGGTGTGGCTGAGGGTTTAAAAATTATGTTTTCAGGCCGTTCAGTCCTGCTTAAGTAGATAGAATATGGGGTATATGGGGATCTTATTATAATATACCCAAAGCCATGTTCTATCTACTTAAGGGGGACTATAGGCCGTAGAAGGGTAAGGTTTGAGGCTCAGGGCTTGGGATTCGTCCTCGACCTCCAGGAGACGGTAAGAGAGCAGTTTAGGATTTAGGGCTTCGGGTTTAGGGCCCAGGGTTTCAGGTTTAGGATTTCGGGTTTTGGTTTTAGGGTTTCGGGTTTAGCGTTTCGGGTTTTGAGGGTTTCGGGTTTAGGGTGTCGGGTTTTTGGTTTAGGGTTTCCGTGGCTCTGCAAGCCCCGAAGATGTAGAAAAAACAAAAGTTGTGCCGCTCCCCAAACAGTGAGCATTCCTTGCATTATTCAACTGAGCTTTGGGAAGATTCATTGTTATGAGGATGGGAGGGTGGGTAGGTGGGTGGGTTAACGTTTAACTAGTAAGGGGAAAGGTCTACACCACAAACGGAGCATAACCATATTGCAGGACGTAGACTGGCCTGCTGGGCTTGAAAAAGTGTAGCAAGCGCAAATCTGAATGAAACCCTGACGCCCTCGGGCTTTTGGTTGGGACTTGGGTAGTTCCCAAAATTATGGGCCCCTTTTGGTTATAGATTATATTACTGGGGGGTACCAAAATAGGACCCACTTTTGGGGAATTAAACACTCAAGGTTTAGGTGCAGGGCAAAGTCTATAGTTTCAAGCGCCCCAAGCTTTCACAGGCCGAGGAAGAAGGTCCTAGCCACGCTCTTTGCTAGTTTTGGGACGGGAAATGTGAAAGCCCGAAAACTCGTGGATGATATTCTCATATGAGCATAGTCTAAACTCCTTAAACGTGGTTATATAGGGGAATATTATAGGGCTGATTACAGGGGATACTAGGAGTTTAGAGTATAGCTCATATACTGCTTGTATACTTTGGGTATACTATGACGTAAGGTTGCTGCAAAACCTATTCTTGTTGTATACGCCCTTACAGTAGATAAGCCCTTGTCTCACTCTCAGAGCGTATGTGGAGCAGCACGTAATGTCGGTTGACGGTTTAGACCGGTAGGGCATCAAGTGGAAGATGAAGTGGAAACTGGGATTTGTATGGTAGGTTATCCGGGAGCTTATCTGGGAGTGTACACTTTTTGAGAGGGAACGCAGGGGATATGGGGGCCCCTCTTACAAATCATACAGGGATGAAAACAAAGACCAGTATGGGGGTGCCAAACTTATGGGGTCTCTTTGGGTACCCTTGTTAGCGACCGTAAAAATAATGGCGACCCAAGAAAGGACCACAATCTTGACATCATGTGTTTCACCCCAGACAACCCCACGAGCTGGGAATCTAGGGCTGGGGCAGTATAAGTATAGGTGGGCGTAGGAGGAGAATCTGTGATAGAAGCCATTCACATGGGTGGCTGTCAAAATTATGGGCCCTTTTTGGATCCCCATTATAATACGGCACCTAATATTGAGGGCACCCAAAAAGGGACCATAATATTGACAACCACCCACATGTAGTTATAAACCCTAAACCCTAAACTTGCTCTAAACCCCCCAAGAACATGAGGTCTTCAGAGCCTAGGGATGCCAGATTTCCAGAAAGTCTCACATTAGGCCACCCTAAACCCTCAACCCCTAAACCTTCAACCTAAAGCCCTAAACCCTAAAACCTAAACCATCAACCCCTAAACCCTAAGCCCCTAACCCTAAACCCTAAACTAAGAGAGGACAGGGTCCCTAGACCCTGACCCCTAAATTGCGGGCCAACTTCTGCAAAGCCCCACCAGGATGCCGAGCACGGCGCTGCCAGAGCTAAGCTCTCGCATGAGAGCAGTGGCGTCCTGGGGCCTGATTTAGGGTCTAGAGTCCCCCCTGAGTAGATAGAATATGGCTTCGGGTACAATATAACAAGATTCCCATATACGCCGTATTCTATCTACTTAAGGGGGACTATATGTAGATTCTAGTTTTTTTAGAACTTACGGTTTAGGGCTTAGGATTTAAAGTTTAGGATTGAGGGCTTTGGGCTCAGGATTTGCGATTTAGGGATAAGAAGGGGTTTAGGAGTAAGCGCTTAGGGTTAAGGGTTGAGGGTTTAGGGTTTGTGTGTGTTCATTTTATGACTGCATGCTGGGAGTGTCAGGGCAGGTGGCACAATGAAGAGACTAAGGCGATGACTTGGTTATTTTGTGTTTTGGGGGTTAAGACAAGTATACTTACTAAGGCTCCCTGACCTTTCAAGAAGAGAACATTCAGGATTGTCAACACTTGCATTTGAAGTTCCCTGTGCTAATTTTGGGTGGCGCTTGTAGTTTGCAAGCTGGTTTGTTTGGAGCTTTCTCGGCACCTTGAAGCGATGGCACACGGATTGAGGCTAACCGCAGTTCAGATTTGACCCTATTTCAAGGGTCAAGGAAGTCAAGTAAGTAGATAAATAATCTGACTGGGGGTTGGGATGCCAGATTATTGGGAATATATTGGGATTATAACCCTTTGTTCCCGACTAACCACCTGTAAGTAATGGGCATAACTTGGGTTGTTGTGCTCACACAGGTTATAGCTATACTTACTAGGCCCCACACTCCTCCAAGTACTACGCAGGAGGTTTAGGACCTAGGGTTTACGTGAGAACCCTAAAAACCCTAGGGTTAAGGATTTAAGGCGAAAAGGGTTTAGGTTTGAACCCCAAACCCTTAAGCCTGACCAAGCTGAGAACTTCAGGCTGTTTACCATCACAATGAGTTTCCTTACAATGATCACGCTGATCGTAATCCTGGCGGTTACGCCTCTGGAGCAGAGGCAGGGCTACTCGGCCCTGTTGGTGACTGGTCTCTATCTTAGGAGATTTTGCGTTTTTTAGACCGGCGCTGTTGTTGCTCTTGGTTTCAGCGCAGGCAACGGATGGTGTACTGTGCTTTTTTCTTAGCTAAGGGGATTTGAGGTCTCTTGGAGCCTAGGTGATTCCTTTGGCCGGTATGCTGATAGTGGGGTCCTTCTCCCTCCTCTTTGACCGAAGCGAACACTTGCCTTCTACGCCTTCTCAGCCGCGCATATCCTCCGCGGTCTACAGTCACAGCTGCGACTGCGTGTGGGCTTCAACTGTATTTGGGGACTTAGCACTTGGAAAAACAGCTGGCCTTCAGTTCCGCCGCATGCATGTGCAGAAGAACGTAGACGGTACTCAGTGGCAAGGGTCTGAGCAAGCCTCAGTCGCCAGCGACGCATTTGTAGCTAAGCCGACCTGCGCATGTTGTTTGGATGATTTTCACCCCTCGAGCCAAGTTGCAGTCCTGCCATGTGGGCACATTTTCCATGAGGACTGCATTGCGCATTGGTCTCTAGCTTCAGCACATTCTGCAAATCCCTGCCCTACTTGCCGCAAAAGCTTTGAGTGCTCAGCGGAGGTGGAGATCTAGAGCAGACTTGCCCGAGATAGGAAACTCAAGGTATAGGCAGGTTATAATCGGTATCTCACTACATGTTGTGGTCATTCGTATTATCATTCTCATTGCTGCAGACAAAACTCCTAGTGTTTCGTCATATACCTGCCGTGGCCCCGCAACGCTTCGCCTACCGCAGAAGGTGGTTGCTCTGATTTGCCTGCTGCAGGGTGGGCTCCTGTGCTGAAGGTTTAGGGTCATAGTCCCCCTTAAGTAGATAGAATATGGCTTTGGGTATAGATTTACTAAGATCCCATATAATTACCCCATATTCTATCTACTTAAGGGGGACTATAAGGGCTTAGGGTTTAGGGTAGCAAATCATCCAACACCCGCCGCAGGCCTAGAGCACACTCCTGCTGTACCTGTCCTGGTGGTAACTTTTAACTTTTGCCGAGCATGTGAAACTCTACATAACCCGACTGGTTTCTTTTGGGAAGGCTTGAAACCTTAAATCCTAGATAGTTGGCCGTTTGCCCAAAGCAGTATGGTTCTTACCAGCGGACAAAACTAATATTGTGAAACTCCAATTTGAACCGTAAGCAGTCACTGAGTAAGCGGTGTTTGCTGTGTAGAGTCCTCAAATATGCCCTTTAAGAGCACAAGCTTACCCTCCAAGGGCAGGAAGCTTCTGTAATTTCGTGCAGAGAAATAAGATTTGCACATCACTTTCTCAAGATCACCCTCACCCGGGGGGCTCAATACCTCTTAAATTTGAATATAGCTTAAATACTACTAGGATCCCTGAAATGATTTAAGGTATATTCCTGATTTACGGGGTATTGAGCTCCCTTGGCATAGCAGGCATAGCAGAATTCAATCCTTTTAATACCGCATGAGTGGTGAGTGGCCAACAACCATTTTTAGAGAGGCGTGAAGAAGTTGGGGAGCGATACACATGAGCTATACTCTAAACTCCGTAAAGGGGGGTTATATAGAGGGGATTATATAGGGGACTACTACACAGGTTATTAAGACTATGGCTTACATGATGTCTGGTCCTGAGCCCGCTTGATCTGCATGTCAAGGCAAGGGAGTGATAGGAGCGTTCCCAATTTTGTTTCGAGAGCCATTGCTGATCCGAGCGCCAAGCAAGCAAAAAGGATTTTAAAGAACAGAACCCTTCAGCCCTGAACCTTGATCCCTAAACACACACACACACACCCTCTCTCTCTCTCTCTCTCTATATATATATATATGTAGGACAGTAGCTGTAGCAACCATAGCGCAATAAGAGCGACTCTGCCAACCATGCCTAGCTAAAATCGCTGTTAGCTCAGTGGTGGCGGCAGAAAACTCAAAGCCGCATGCTTATCCATTCCCAGGACGTTCAGCGTCTAAGCTTCCTATACTGCCATCCTACCGAAGACAGTGCCACTGCGAAGGTAGCAGTACTGTGTGGGAGCTCGCAGGGCGCATTTGTACGTCGACTTGAACAGTGCTGCGTAGCTAAGAGGACGACTTGGACTTGCTCATTGCACTACACGATAGTAGTTTCCGTTTTATTTCCATTATCCCAATATAACTCCAATATACTGTAATAGTTTCCTTTTTCTTTTCCATTATCCCTATACAACCCCAATATATAGACCAGGCCCAAATGGAGGAAGCCCAGCCTTTTCAATCGTCGTTTTCAGTGTTTTACTGAGAAACCGCGTAAACTGACAGTTCCAGCTCGGCTTGGTGATGGCAAGTTCCTACCACAAAATTTCGGCATCTCAAGTGATGTTGGCAGCCTGTCGGGGGCACATAGCATTAGTTGCTTGGGACACATGCCTGGTCACTGGTTCTATGATACCCCAGCTAGCCTTCGCGTACGGTAAGCAACAGGACTTTGAGAGTTGGCCATGAGGCTTGGCAATTTCCCATCATACCGCGCTCCCCTTCCCCTTGCTGATTCAGGGTTGCTCTCCAGCGTTACAGAAGACATGTTGGGCTTTTGTTAGAAGGCGGAAGGGCATTTCTGATGCACCAGGGGAAAGGATACGTAAGTCACGATAAGAGTCTGATAGATATTTGTTTTCTGATAATTATGATAGTAACAACAGTGATAGTACGTAATAGCAATAGTAATATTAATAGTAGTCAGCGATGTTCACAGGCCGTCCTTGCGCAGACATTGGGATGCAGTCTAAGAGTTGTTGGATCTATCTAAGCAAGGTGTAGAATCACGACCGCGTCAGCCGAAACAGGTTTGGGGTATAGAGTTCAGGGTCTAGGGTTTAGGGTTTAGAGGTATAGGGTTTAGGGTATGGGGATTCGGGTTTAGGGGTTAGGGTTTCGGTACGGGGTCTACTCTGTTGATGACGATCCCAGAGTTGCTTCCAGTTATATGAACTATATAAACTCCCTAAAGGGGGTATACCGGGTTTAAGGTTTAGGGTCTAAACTCCATGAAGGGTGGTTAAACGGGATTATATAGGGGAGTATTGGAAATTCTGGGGGTTATCAATGTCGATACTAGGAGTTTAGACTATAGCTCATATTGAGGATCATGCAGTATTCCTCCATGCAGGGTAGAGCCGTACCCAGCCCAGGGTTCTGGAACTTATAAGGGGGATTACACTTTAATTATATCTCGCCACTACATTTGGGCACAGTCCTTCGAAATGGGAGAGTCTCCAAGTTATTCTTTCTCGTCCTTTGTAGAAATCCCTCTAATCTTTGTCCTCCTCGTGTTTCACCAACCTGGTTTTTTGACTGGAACCTACCCTGGCCTGAATGTAAACCCTGCCCTTCTTTGGTAGGTAATCTGACATCGGAGCTTCTCAAAAAAGAGCCACTTGCATGAGTGAATCCGAACAGCTATTTTGCCCTTATAACCCCTCTGTACCCAACCACCCATAGTATCATATACTTCCATTATGGTATGTCATATATAATATGTGGGAATATTCAATATGAGCGGGGTGGCGGGGTTTTCGTGTTAGGGGCAGGGGATTCGTACTTCCAAGGACGCTCTGATCTTGAGTGGCCGTGAAAAGACCATGAGAAGCCCTTGAGAGCCCTAAGCCATATGGGGTATATGGGGATCTTACTATAATATACCGAAAGCCATGTTCTATCTATGTAAGGGGGACCATAGCCTTACTTACTGGTTCTTAGTAGGTAGTAAGGGATTATAATCCCTATATAACCCCTGTATACTATATACCCTTTTTCTAGTAGGTAGTACGGGGATACAATCCCTATATAATCCCTATATACTAGATTCCGTTATTCTAGCAGGTAGTAAGGGAATACAGTCCCTATATAATCCCCATATACTAGATTCCCTTATTATAGTAGGTAGTAAAGGAGTACAATCCCTATATAATCCCTTCAGACTATATCCCTTTATTCCCTACTAAGACCCTGTAAGCTTAGGGAGGTCTGGAGTCCGTAGTAATGAGTCCCCCTTCATATGAACCATAGTCTGAACTTCTTAAAGGGGGTTATATAGGGTATTATATAGGGGACTACTATAGGGGCTATTAAGGGGGATACTAGGAGTTTAGACTATGGCTCAAATGGGGGCCCTTGTAGCGATTTCTTTCCTAGACAGAAAGACCCAATTTTTACACACCAGCCACGCCTTCTCAGCCCGTGAAACAGGCCGCCTGAAGCCTTAATACCCTACACTCCCGGAAAGTAACATGGAAACCCAAAAAGGGCCCTATAAAGACTAAAGCCCTTCTAAAAGGGTACTATATGGGTTTCCATGTTAGTTTGGGGGAGTGTAACTACATGTACCAGGACAGTTGTGAATCTGAAAAGCTAGCTGCCGGCTATCCGGGACTTTGACCACATGAGCTTTGCTGATTGCTAAACCCTAAACCCTAAACCCTAATTGCTCCAGAGTAGGAAGGCTAGGAAGAAGCTGTAGCCGTGGCGTGCTTTCAAGCGTTTAGGCTCTAGGGTGACCAGGACCACACGGTTTAGGGTTTAGGGTTTAGGGTTTAGGGTGACCAGGACAGGAGGCCTCTTGATGCAATATATTTTTAAAGCTGGCTGTTCACGGCCCCATCCATCACGGAAGCCGTTCTCAGGTTCCAGCAGCTACAGCTATAATTGAGTTTTGCAGCTTTGAGTCAGAATGGGTCCAAAGCCCAGTAGTCAACGGCCCACCCATCTGTTAAGAATGCTGGTGCACATGCTGTGCCTGCGCGGCCTTGTAATTTTGTTTAGAATTCTGGCGGGTTGTACTTCCTACAACTCTAGTTGGTAGTGAAATCTGTCAATGAGACAAACTCATCAAAACTTTGGCAGGTTCTTGGGTGTTAGCGATGGCCAGAAGAGATTTGTGGTAGGAGGTTTGCCGGGGTACGTACGGCAGAGATGATGTTTCGCTTACTGATGCTTAGTAGGGAGTAAGGGACGATAATCCCTATGTAGTCCCTATATACTCCCTTATTCCCTACTAACTCCCAGTAAGTTTGAGAGAATGTAGCAGATGTTTACCTGCATTAACAAGAATAGCTGTCTTTTACAGCGCATCCTTTCCCGGAACTGAGATTGACCAAGAACATGCAAAACACACACTAGTACGGTGAAGGGACTGATTCCCCCTGGCACCTAAACCCTAAACCCTCCTGGCCTACTGCTTCTTGCTCTAGCTTTGCGCACTACCCTTCATCGGCTTTCTGGCTTTCAGAGATAAGGTGCGGACGTGCCACAGTTGGGTAATCCTCTCCCGCATATTAGATCCCCCCGTGGTCTGCAAAGGGTGAGTAGAGGGGTTTTTAGAGGGTTCCAAACGCCCTGAGGCTGGATAGCCTCGGCGAATTTATAGAGGGTATTTGACATAAGGGGGGTGGGGGGGATGTGTAATAATACGGGGAGAGCATTAAAGGAGCGTGTGTTTTGTGGTGTTTCATGCCGACTCGAGCAGGCTAATTGCAGGAGTCGAGGCATG